GCCGGGAAGATCCAGCACTTTAACGGCCAGGCCCTCTGCAATCCGGGCATTGCCGGTTTTTTTATCAACCGTAACACCCGGAAAGTTGCCGACCTTCTGGTTAAGGCCGGTCAGCGCATTAAATAGTGAACTCTTGCCCGAGTTAGGATTACCAACGAGGGCTATTTTATAAGTGCCTGATTGCATGGTTTAGCGGGGGCAAAGGTACCGCAGAACCATCAACTTAATCCGGCAGTTATATCATACTAATGTCAGGCGAGTATAAAATCTGGGCGTATCAGCTCAGGCTATCAATAATTTTCTTGTTAAAAGCCGGCAGGTCATCAGGATTCCTGCTGGTAATCAGGTAGCCATCCTGCACCACCTCTTCGTCTACCCAGTTTGCGCCCGCATTCCGGAGGTCTGTTTGTAAAGACGGGTAAGAAGTCATTGTTTTCCCGTCCAGGACGCCTGCTTCTATTAATGTTTGGGGGCCGTGGCAGATAGCTGCTACCGGCTTGTCCGCCTGTGCCATATTCTTTACAAAGCGTACGGCAGCGTCCTGTGTCCGCAGCTTGTCAGGGTTCATAACACCGCCGGGAAGTACAACTGCATCATAATCAGCTGCATTCAGCTGATCGTACGTATGTGTTGCCGTCACGGTCTTGCCCCAGTCTGTATGAGCCCATCCTTTTACCTCGCCTGTCTTTGATGAGACAATATCTACCACCGCGCCTTCTTCGCGGAGTGCCGCCAGCGGGTCGGTCAGTTCCACTTCTTCAAAACCATCTTCTGTAAGCATCGCGATCCGTTTGTTTTTTAATAAGGCCATATCCGTTATTTTTTGTGGTACATCAGAGCTGCTAAAATTGTCGTGCCATTGTATTTTTGCAAGTTGGAGTTTTAAATTCTATATATTTGCTTAAATCAATTTCAATTTTTTATGAAAAAATATCGATTATTTTTTACATTATTGATCTTGTTGGCAGGACTATTTGTGCATGCTCAAAGTCCCTATTCCATTGTTACCACTACTGAAACTTATCAGGCACTTACGAGTACAACAACGATGAATAATAAGGTTATCTGGGATGATGAAAATTTTTCGGTGCCGATGCCTTTCAGTTTCAAAATCGGAAGTGTAACCACGAATAATTTTCATTTAGGGCTTATCCTTTTACATCTGTCTACCGATACGGGAAACCGGGGCAATGCATTTATACTACTGGATGCAGATCTTACAGACAGGGGCCTATTAAAGGGATCTGCATCATTGTCGCCGATCCGGTATCTGACCACAGGTACGGCACCTAACCGCATTTTTAAAGTTGAGCTTGCCAATGCCGGCTTTTACAATGAATATGATGCCTACAACAGCATGGATGATTATTTGAATATGCAGGTCTGGTGTTATGAAACCAGTAATATTCTTGAAGTTAGGTATGGTGCTGCCCAGATCACCAATCCCGGTGGCTACTTTAACTTCGGCAAAGGCCCATTCATGGCTTATGTACAGAATATTGATCTGGAGAAAGGCTCCTGGGATCTGATGTATGCGGTAAATGGAGACCCTGCCAATCCTTGTCTGGACAAGGTTGGTAGCGGAGCATCGATGTTACCAATACTGAATGCAATGCCTTCCAATGGAACGGTTTATCGTTTTATTCCCCGAAGCAGTCAGTGGGTCAATAATTTCGCCGCGTTTAAAAATGTAGCGGTATATCCCACCTATTGTAATGATGTATTACAAGTGAATTTCAGGGAAGCGGGTATCGCAGACTATATGATCATAGCTACCGATGGCCGGACAATGGGTAATACCGGGAAGCTGGGTAGTGGTGTAAACAGTATTGATGTACAGCGTCTTGCAAGAGGGCATTATTTGCTAGTAGCCCATAATGAAGAAGGGCGGGGCAGTTATCATTTTATTAAAAATTAATAGTATTATCAGAGATAGGCACATCACAACCAGGAACAAGCGTTGTCCGGCAGGCGGCGGCTTTAGCCGCCGTATAGCTGCTCATAAACTCATCATATCCAGTCGGTGAGCAAACAAGTTGCTCATCTGTCTA